TTATTGTTGAATTTGTGCTATTCAAAAACATTTTTAATGGGGCATAAATACTTAAGCATTAACAAAAAGATTGTCTTGAAGCTCTTGGATTACTTATTCACCCCAGCATAACCACTGAAAGGAAGAAGATCAAGGGCCACTTCCTGTATGGTTCATATATCTTTAACCAGGTCACATAAAGACTTATTTGCTGTGTGACTGCAACAAGACAAACTTCATTAGTTTTAATTGTGGTTTGGTTCATTTTGTTATTGAGATTCAGTACACTGTGTAAACTTCAAAAATGAGTTAATTCAAGTGTCTTGGGTGACTCCAGATATGATATATCACAGTAGGAGAAATTCTGAATATCATAATGAATGAAGACATAGATGCTACTGTGTGGATACTTGAAAATATCTGATTAGCAGTGGGTTCATAGTAGGTTATCCCCAAGTTTTCTGCTATATGTATCCTAAAAGAACCATGTCATTTGATATTATTCTGAAATACGTTGTTTTGTCTTCTCAAGGAGCCAGAAATCCTGTTAGCCTGTGCAGCAAAACTGTGGGCTAAGCAATTTTTAGGTCACTTTACAGAGTTCTGACATTCCCTCTGTAAAGAATCAAATGGGAATCTTTTTATAAATGACCATGTACTCAAGATGTTTTGATGACTGATGGATGCATACTGAGGTAGCCAAGTTATTTTCACATTTCTGACTTTTGCTCTCTAATGTCTAAACCAATTAATAATGGTCATGTGAGTATATGTGTGCTTCTTAGAGGATGGAAGGGGATTTCTAGCCTGTTAATTCTGTTGAGATGTCTCAATATGGATTCCAGTAACTATAAGAAAAAAAAAGAGTTTGTTTGAACAGATGATATGCTTGTTCATAGCCATTGGAACTAGTTCAGTTTCTCCTACATTTGTGAACATATATGTTATATCTAATTGTATTTACTTGTTTCTGTTGAGAATGGACATCATCATCTTGTTCTGAGACTGGCTTTTTTTCTATTGAAATATAAAAAGTTCTCTTGGGGCTGTAAGTTGGGCTGGATGGAGATTTTCAGCATGATCGTTGCTTGCTATGATTTCTTAAAATTCAAAATGTTGTCAAATTAGATGAGTTGTCTTATTATAGATTGCTTTGTTCTTGCTATTCAGCAAATGCTAGGCCAATGAACATAGTATCTTGTTACAGAAGTCATTGCTAATACTTCGTATTTTGACCCTGCATATTTCATCTGTTGATGTACTCTAGCAAGATACTCAAAGTTGCTTCTTACTGAAATTATCTCATTAAATCAGAAGGTGACTGTGATAAATGTACTAGTCCAGAGGATTATTTAGGCCATGACAACAATGGAAACCAGCTGATTCTCAGGCTGTGTGCAGGTGGACTCACTTCATCTTGGATACAGATTGTGGCATGCCACTCTATGAAGATGAAAATATGGAATGGTTAGATACCAAACCTTAATTCAATTTGTATTCAGCTCACCATGCCACATGAACTCAATGAAAGATAATAGACTGATAATGTATTCTATTTTTGTCAGGTTTGCATGAATTTAGTAATAAATTTCATCCAGTTTCAGCATTTATTTGCAGTTTTTTAAAAAGATCCACACATGAAAATTCTAGTTTTGTACTCAATTGCCCCTATATGAAACATTCTTCTATGCAACTTTCTGTAATAAATATATTTTAAAGCAACTTGAACCAGGAATTGCATCTCTAAAGTTGAAGAAATATACAGCCTGAAGGTTAGATATCTTCTAAGCAGCCTATTAAGAGCTAGTTTGGTGTAGTGGTTAAAGCATCACCCTAGAAACCGGGAGACCGTGAGGTCTAGTCCCGCCTTAGGCATGAAGCCAACTGAGTGACCTTGGGCCAGTCATACTTTCCTTCAGCCCTAGGAAGAAGGTGATGGCAAACCACTTCTGAAATCTTGCCAAGAAAATGCAGGGACTTGTCCAGGCAGTTACAGGAATCAACACTGACTTGAAGGCAGCAAAAAATAAAATAAAAAAAAATCTGCCTATTAATTTGAGATGTGCAGACTAGGCTAGTTTGCTTTAAAAAGTTGGCCAAGCTAACATTTGCCCTGTTCCAGCTTTGTTGGACTGAAGTGGCTTAAAGTCTGCCCAATTTGTATTTTCTTACTCAGCTACTATTGGGTGAGTTTTTCTCTGTACAAGGTTCTACAAAAGCATTTTTTGTCCTGATTATATTTAATGAAATATCTTTTTCTGAGATTTTTCCAGTTGTTACCACACATGTGCATTTCTTTTCTTTTTGTTAGTTAACACAGAATCAGAGACAGCAGTTGTCAACGTTACATATGCAACAAAAGAAGAAGCAAAAGTGTAAGTGGCTGAGACAGTTTCAGTTGCATTTTCCACTTCTCCTCATCTTTTCCATTTTAGTTTTTCTCTTCTGACAAGCTCTCTTAATTTTTCTTTCTGTATTTACAAGCCTGATAAGTGACACACAATACCCTTATTGCTGCTATGCTGTAAATTTCAATCTGCTGCTGTCTCAGTTTTCTGCTGAGTAGTTGAGTTAGAGCTGATACTAATCAGCTAATGATGTCTCTGAATTTGAGAGCAGTGCAGAATAAATACTGTAAGATTGGAATGCCCTGTATGAGATGTTAAATACTTCTTAAAGTACTTCTTGAAGAAGGGAATTCTGTACCAAGGAAAGGACTGGCAGGTACCCTCCCATGTGCGTCCACAGAACAACGATGGGCAACTTTGGTTTGTGGCCTACTTATGAAATCATAGAACCAGAAAGAACTATTTAGGCCATCATGTCTAACTCCCTGCTCAGTGCAGGAATCCCAGTTAAAGTATCTCTGACAGGTTATTGTCTAGCCCCTAGTTCAACACATCCAATGAAGGGGAGCCTGCCACCTTTCTAAGCAATTGATTCCGCTGTTAAATTGCTCTTACTGCTAGGATTTTTTTCTCCCTGATATTCAGTTGGAATCTGCTTTCTTGGAACTTAAATCCATTCTTCTGCACCCTGCAGTTTAGAATAATAAAGAACAGGTCTTGGCCTTTTTCTGAGTGACATCCTTCCAGCTATCTAAAGAACGCCATTATATCCCCTCAGTCTTCTTTTCTCAAAGCTAAGCTTTCCCAGTTTCTTCAATCTCTCTTCATAGGACTTTGATTCTAATCCCTGATCATCTTCATTGTCCTTCTTGGAGTCTGTCCAGTTTGTCTGAAACTTTCCATCATAGTTCTGATTTATCTGATAAACCTTCAGCTTCTCTCATTCAACTGAAATGTGGCTTCATTTCGTAGGTTGCAACTTATCTTCTAAGTAAGTATACTTAGAATTATGCTGCAAGTTCCATTGAAACCAATGGAGCAAGCTGTTTATTTAGCATACCATTGTATCTGCCATGAGGTCCCAGTCATTTATAATCATAAATCAATAATTAAAAGATCCACAGTAAGATTTATCAACAATTAATTAAATGATATAATAATAATAATAATAAATTAATATTGTAAAACAAACAATATAATAATACTGATGGAACAATCATAATAAATAATATTTGATGTCATCAGCATATTAACCATTAAATGCTCCCTGGAAGAACCCCATCAACTACCTTCCAGAAAGTAGTAACAGGTACAGCAAGCCCTGCTTTTAAGGGCTGACTGATCCATAAGGTTGAGTCTGCAATTGGAAAGCAAGGCCTCCCTGGCTTCTCCAAAGGTTTTCCCCAAGCAAATTCACTGAACAGGTTGATTCTGGTTGGAAAAGGCAGTCCTGCAGTAAACCAGAGCTAGAATGGAATCTTTAAAACCAGATCTTGAATTGCACCCAGTAACTTAGGGGCAACCAGTGTGAGACACAAAGTAATACACTCCTAATAACCAGTACCTGGCAGTAAACAAGACACTGTATTTTGTACCAACTGCATCTTCAAGGTGGTCTTCAAAGGTGGCCCCATGTGGAGCATATTGCAGTAGTCCAGCTATGCAGTAATGAGGGCATGAGCTGCTATTTCAGAGTCCTCATGCTCCAGGTAGGGCTGCTACTAGTGTATCAGCCAAAGCCTTCACCTGCCCATCCAGCAGTATCCATGAATCTAGAAGAATCTCCAAGTCATGGACCTGGTCCCTTAGGGCTTTGCCCTCAAGAGACAACACTGGAATTGACCAAGAACCTCAATGAACAAACAGTAATGCTGTCTTGCTTGGATTCAGTTTCAGACCATTTCCTTCCATCCAGAGCCTGCAGTGTTCAGACATCAGGACAAGACTTCCATAGTATCACTTGTATGGTCCAGGATAGCTATGTATAACTGGGTATCATCAGTATACTGCTGATAGCACACTCCAGTGGCTTCCAGTGAAATTAAACAATGGAGGAAAGGACCAAACTCTGTGGCACCCCACAGGTCAGGGGCCACTGAGTTGACCTCTCTTTCCCTATAACCACTGATTGGACCAACCCACTGTAAGACAGTGCTTCCAGTACCAACCCTTGCATGCAATCCAGAAAGATATGGTGGTTGATGATATAAAAGACTGTTGAAAGATCTAATAAGACTGGAAGAGGTCTCCATCCCTATCCAGTTCCTTACAAATGTCATTTACCAGCATGAATGGTGCCATTTCCATTCCATGTACTTTGACTCTAGATAATCTGCCCCTTCTAGGACACTCTGTAACTGAATTTCCATCAGTCTTGCAATACTCTTCCCCAAAAGGGGAAGGTTGGGGACTGGACAGTCCAGTAGTTGTAGAATTTAGCTGAATCAAAGGAAGGCCTCTTAAGGAGAGGGCAAGGCTGCAGACAACACCCCTCCTTCAAAGAGGCATTGACAAACTCCAGCTCCTACCTTTAGTGCTGCCACCTGCACCCTGAAGGAGCTAAGAGCAGCATGGAATTAGTGTGCAGGTTGCAGAAGTCAGAGATTCATCAGAGGCCCAAAAGAATCTGAGCTGGTATGGCAAGATGCCTCCCCAGACATCACTAAACGCTGTCCATGAAGAGTCAAGAATCTGAAGATGTTTGGAGTGCAAAATGGCCACAGTAGCCAGTCAAGTGTCCTGTATGCCTGAGGTGTAGGCCCAAACTTATCTCATACCCATGTTCAGTCGTTCAACTTCTTATCTATTTGCTCCAGGCATCACTTTGCCACTTTGTCTCAGTAAACCAAGGGGAAAACAAAGATTGACAAACAGAGAGAAGCTGCCCACCAGAAATCACATCAAGATTGTGGGTCATCTCCTGTTGTCAACAGCTTACCAGCAGTCAGTGGAACTATCTACCAGATACAGTGGGGCAAAAAAGTATTTAGTCAGCCACCAATTGTGCAAGTTCTCCCACTTAAAAAGATGAGAGAGGC